CCACCGAGCTTGCCGGGGTAAGTAAGCAGGAGGTCGTGGGTTCGAGTCCCACGCGAGTAAGCTTGTGAGGTTTTTTTCGCAAGCACTGACCATACAGTGCTTATTAATATACGTTGCGTAAGGGCAAAACCTGTTATATAAAATTAACATCTCCCAACGCAAAAATACATCTTGAAAAAAAAAAAAAAATACATCTTGAAAATGTATCATGCACATGTGTGCACGATCATGCTAAATGACCACTCTTTCACGTCAGTATACACATTAATGAAAGTCTAAAATCTCCATTCTTAGTTGACTAACTAAAAATCATGGGCAAAGTGGGACTATCTTTTGAAACATGGGAGGTTTAACGTGAGGAAATCATACTTTCTGTTGATGAAAATTTTATCGCTATGGAGCTTGGAAATGGCCACCATGTTTGCCCATACCATTATGCATTGGGGGTCATATGAGATTTAAAACATTTTTGCAAAAAGAAAATCCTTTCCTAAAATAAATGTTAACTTTAAGCTCATCCTTTTTATTTTCTACTTTATACCTTATGCTCAGATTCCTCTAACTTCAGTTTAAAAGGAATTTGCTAAATTTCTGCCGGTATGTTTTTAGCTGCTTTTAATATTACCCGTTCATTCATTATTTAGATTCCCATATTATCTGCAATTACTGCAACACCTGTTGATGGATGTGGTGTGTATAATAAAACGAACTGTTAAACGATGGTTGGCTGACCATCGTTAAAAAAAAAGAACAGAGTTTAGTTTTTCTCGAAAACTACAGCATTCTAGGCAGAAATATTTTACAGACCGAGGCTGTTTTGTACTATTTTTCGCATAAGAAATTCCTGGATTATACGGTAGTTTCATTTGGGGGATTTTACCCATGGTGTCACCTACATGTACCTTTAAATCAAATTTGATCCAATTTGATAGTAAACAATGTTTAGATTTCTGCTAACTGAACTTAATAGTTAGCCCTCTGGTTACCTCTACAAGCTTCATAACAGGCACTGGATTGAAGAAGTGAATGCCTCCAAAACGGTCTCTTCTCTCCGTTACACTGGCAATATCTGAGATGGGAAGTGAGGAGGTGTTACTAGCAAAGATGGTCTCCCTGCAATGTAAAATGGGAACTTAAGACTAATTAAACTTTCCAACACAACAAAGTTTGCAAAATGAAAAGTCCACAAGAGTCACTTCTTAAGCCTTACTTATCCACTTTTGGTAGAGCTTCCTTATAGCTTTTTTACACATTTTTTTAAAGTAAAAAGGCCACTTGTGATGATCTATTAACAGCTTTCACAAGTCCATGACATTGATCTTCTATCTCAACTTTGTTTGAAAGTTAATTTGTAAAATATGCAACTTCTACCTAATTAGCAGAATAAAATTTTACAGAAAAGCACAGAACTGAAATAGACATCCTTTTCTACATGTACTGTAAACATTTTGCAAAAAAATTTATTAACAATAACATGCTTCAAACTCACGGAGGGGCTTCTTTGTCCAGTCGACTGAAGAGCTCTTGCTTTACACTGATGTTTTCTACTATAGCTTCAATTACAAGATCTGTCTTTGTTACAACTGAAGAAGCATCTGTGCTCACGTCAATTAATGACATTGCTTGCTTTGTGAATTTTTCAGCTGCCTGCAACAAGACAGGAAATGTCATTGCACCTGTATGGCTATGTCACCGATCTTTGCACGCTAAGCCTGGCTGCAACAAAAATAATAGAAAAGAGGACTACAAGAGTAAAGCAAAAAGACATAACTGAAAACGTTAACATACCTTGGCATCTTCTCCAAACTTTTTTTTGGCAACTCTAGCCAAACTCCGCTCAATCGTCAGTTTGGAATGTGCAAGAATTTCATCTGATTGGTCAACCACAGTAACATGGTGTCCAGTTTGGGCAGCAACCTGCATTCCAAAATGAAAGTTTTTTACTCATGGAAGTAAACCTATGATTTCATAGACCTACTTTTCAATACGTGTTGTTCAGATGGTTCTGGAAATATTCATCACACACCCCATGCTCCCAAGGGGAACTTTCACAATCACAATTTTATGTCATAAACTTAAAACAACAAAAACGATGAACAATGTACCTGTAGGAGGGGCACTTATTAATTTGACATAGATTTTAGATGTTTAAATACTCAACAGGAGCAAGTTGAGAGGGTTCAGGTGAGGAATACCTGTATTTCTTAGAAACACTTTTCGTACAACTCTGCACTATTCTTCAACTGCAGAAACAACAGGGTCTGTTCAACTGTACATTGTATATGTAGCTCTAATGTTTCCACCAAATGGCTGCTGACTGCCTTATTACTCTGTACATGTACATATATGAACATAACTTCATGTGACCAGTAGTAGGCAGCTTTTAGTGGGTTTGACCACGTGTGTAAAAATTCCTGCTGAAATTTATGCAGCTGCCGCTCTTTGAAATCTAAGGTGGCCAAGATGGGCTACACAAGATAAATTTATTGAAAAGCCGAGTCCTGGTGTTTGGCATAGAAACAGTGCAAATTTTTTTTTTTTACTTTTTAAAGCAATTTGACAGCTTTAAACTTCAAATCTTCCAGTAGTCATTTCCAGTTCATTTGAAGAACTTTCTTAAATCAGTAACAGGGAAATGAATTTTAATATAGTACATGTATGGTATTTTACCATAACATGAGATTCCTTGTTCTGCTAATATTAATTATTCTTGCATAATAAATTACAAGGAAAGTCCCTTAATTTAATTGTCTTTTGCTTATTTGTATAAACTGTTTTGACAGTCTTCACTAGCCCAACACTAAATGTGGCACCCCATACATGTATTTCCAGTGGTCCCCTCTTCTGTGACTCCATATTAACCACCCACATCCACCTTATCAGTAAATCCCCCTCCAAAATGAGTCTGCAATCATACTAATGAACAAATAGTTTTAAGAGCTAAGACAAATATCTTAATTTCCTTCAAAACCACCTTCCTATGGCTGGTCTACAGACCTACATGTAATGCAACTCCAACATTACCAGCCATGTTCTTTGTTATTTGCACACCCCGAATGTCCCATTTTGCCTATCCACACCCTCTCCATTCAACACCCTTGGGTTTATACTTGTCTGTGCCCTTTCCATGGTGATCAGGTTGGTGCATATCCCATCCCACCATTACCTTTATTCATGAACATGGCAACCCAGTTTCAACCCAGGTAAACTAGCTGTCTTCTGGGAAGAAATATGAGAAACAAAGTTAAGAATGGATCCACCACTAGTTTTTATTCATATTCACTCACTTGACAAAAAAAAATAATTATATATAACGGTTTGCCCGTACCCAACGTATATTAATAAGCACTGTATGCTCAGTGCTTGTCCGAGAACTTGCGAAAAAACATCACAAGCTTACTCGCGTGGGACTCGAACCCACGACCTCCTGCTTACTAGTGCAGATGTCTTAACCACTCGACCACCGAGTAAAAAAAATAATTTGATATTTTGAAGATAAGAAAAGGGCCCCATTTGCACCCTTGTAATGCTTCACAGAGTCAAAAAATATTGATGACATCACAACACGTTAAAAGTACTGGTACATAAACAATAAAGGGCAAACTTTTAGATGACATAAAGACTTCTGAATTTTGGGGGGAATTATGACACAAACTCTAGTATCTGTAGGAAAATTAGCCAAAAAAGGGTTGTTTATTTCTTTTACACATAAACTAAGATTACAGGATTCATTTCCAGCATTCCTGTTTTTTTTGCAAAACTTTTGAACACAGATCGATGGGAACAGGTAAACTCGTATATGTACATGTACAGTACATGTACCTTGGACAACTTGTACCATGGACAACTCGAACCATGGACAACTTGTACCATGGACAACTCGAATCATGGACAACTTGTACCATGGACAACTTGGACCATCAACTAAACATAACTGTACCAACTCGTACCTTTGCCGAGTTGCACTTTTGACAACTCGTACATCCAGGAAAGACAACTCGTACCTTTGTGTACGAGACAACTTGTACTTTCATCATGTTCACGGAAATCAGACCCTGCTCAGGGCTTATTATAGTTGTAATTAACTTGAGTGTTCGTTTCCTAATTTGCTATTTTCGCTACAATGCCTTTCCTACATGCTGGTGGGGTGACATTAATGTGAGACGCATCAACGTTGTGCAAGTGCAAGGCAACTGGTGCTGGCCAACGTGGCTAGCCGTTGTTGCATGCAATTTGGAATCTTCACCATGCAGTCCACCGTGATGATGGAGTGATGTCACGTTTTCACTTATTTCAAAGTTTGTAAAGTAAAGTCAGTTGTAACTTATCCCCCCAAAAGACTTTTAATAAGGAAGGCAACCACCCTCCCCTCCAAAAAATTAAAAAACACCCCCAAAAAGTTACTAAACAAAGCCATCATTCCCCCACAAAATGAAAAAGTCCAATAACCTTTTCCAAGAGCCATAAGAATAAATTGAAGTCCCCTCCCCCAAAAAAACAAATTCAGAGTTCAGTAAAGTCCCCCCCCAAGAACAAAAGTTAATAAGGAAGTCAAGTTGGTAAACAGTCAGGTTGTTCGACATCCGTCACGTAAACCGACGACACAAAGGCCCGCGGCAGGCACTATGCAGAAAATCATGCTGGCGCTCAAGATCTCTCCGGGAGATTTATGAAGATTTTTCCTTAATATGTTTGTCAAATCTGATCTTAAACATGCTGAAAAGGAAGAGCAAGAAAGTTATAACTGAATTGCAAACATGAAGGTACGAGGGGTCTTAACTCGACGTAC